TCACAAATGATATGGGGAAAACCTTAAACCCTAAAAAGGGCGTACACAGGTATATCCCCTTTTGACATACATAGACCTCTTCAATTTAGTAAATTTTCATCGTACCATAATTTCATTCCCATAATATTAGCCATCGCATCTGGCAACCATGCACGCCCAGCGTTCTTCTATGGCGCGTCCGAGTTACTATCTCATACTTATGTGATGCCAAATGTGGCGCTTTTCTGTTGTACCAAGTGAACTGCGACTCGTCGCAGTCAGATGTTAAGAGGACTGCCAAAGAGCATCTCTTCGTACGCACTTGCTATTACGCGACCCTGCGTCACTACTCAGCAGTCCGGATTATGAAGGAATTAGGTAGGGTTTAGGACACTTATAAAGGTTGGACTAGCCCCTGTGAAGTATGCAAACTCGTTTTGTCGTTTTCATAGGAGGTTCTACGGGGATTCTACGGAAATCAAACCCGGAACCTCAGTGATGAAAGAGGCGACTTCCTCACTGAGCCACGAGAGCATTTTAATTTTACATTCTTTTAATCATAATTTAATGGGCATCCAATGGAATCGTCAGTGACAAATCATGTCGTTGGTCCACATTTTGGGTAATATTTTTCGTTTACTTCCTCTAACATGTTGTGTAGTTTGGTGGGTCTTTGATACCGAAAAATGTATTGACAGCAAAACTGTGGACAACGCTATCAAGTAAACCGTAGGCAGGATTTTCACCAAAATTGATATTCCGTAATCAATCTGACAATTGTCCAGCCTATTGAATTTGAAACGGATATTTTGATTTTGTTTTTTTATATGAAGCCTAAACAACATTTTCTAAATTTTCTCAAAAATGTCTCCAAATTTTTACTTTAATTTTTTTCCCTCTGATTCATAGTGTGAAATTTTGAGGATCTATGGAACACAAATTCTAATTGCAAAAATAAACAATGAAACTCTGATAAGTCATGTTGAATATTACTGAAATAACACAAAATGCGTACAATCAACAACGTATAAATTATTGAAACACTTAAATATTTTTTATCACTTAAAATACAAAATTAAACGGCAATTCTTCAATTAAATAGCAAAAAATATTTATATTCATCAGCATTGTTAGATAACTTCAGTTTGCTCCCTTTGATGTGTCCTAAAGACCGAGACGCGGTGGGTTGAGCGAATACCGAATGTTTGGCGCTCTGCGAATAGCGAGCAACCCGTCCACACAACTTGGGATTCGGCGTCCGGTTGCTCTGGATTCGCCGAATGCCTCATATGAGGAGCCGCCTTTACAGAAGCATTTAAACAAATAAAAATATGTGTTTAAATTTATGTGTTTCCGTTTTATTCTATACCAATGATACTCTCAAATTAGAAAATACAGAAAATAAATGATAATTTCTCTTTACTGCAAAAGTTCGTAGTAAGCGAGAAAATGCAATGTAACTACTATGTTTAAAATGTTACTTGTGACATTTTTAAATGTGTTACTTTGAAATATTTGTTTTAAAAATGTTAATTTGTAACATTTTTAATTAATGAAAATATTGAAGAACAATTTTATTTGAAGTTTCACGTGGCTGAGAATGTGGTTCATATCTGTTGAATATAGATTGTTATGTAAGAAACTGAAAAGAACTTTAAGACAAGTGTACCTGTTGATATGGAACATAAGATTTAAGTAAACACAGATGACTGCGTTAGACTGGTCTGAAAAGCATGGCCACTTATGCATTCAAGATAAAAAACATAGAAGAAAAAATAATATGAAATGATTGATGGAAAAATGAACTGTGAATAACGTGCAAAAAGGAAACAAAGGAAGGACAGCAATGGTGAGGGCTATTAGAAAGTAAATACCTACTTTATGTCTGCGTGAGGTGATTATAGAATGTCTAAATTTAACTTATCATTAATAATCTTCCGAAATTCGTTTTCGGTATACAAATCGTTCTGTATTAATGAATTTCTTCTGGATAAGATATTTTGCGATCACATTGAAATGCACATCAAAATTTGAAAAATATAACATTAGAGTAGCAACATATTTTTCGTACATTTCTACCATACGACATTGTTTAAACATGAATGCATCAACGTATAACCACGAAATGTTTTTCGTATTCATTAGTGATGCGAAATATATATCGTTCAAGCCTTGACGATTCAATATAATCCTCAATTTGTACTATCTTGCCCCTATATTGTATAAAGAAGAATTATAATAATCGAGCGCAGGAAAAGGCGGATTTTCGGCAGAAAAACTCTTATTGCCGACCACTGCTAACGAAAAGTAGATAAATCTTGTTTTAGATAGAAAATGACATTCTTCAAAATTAATATTCCTCGGACGATTTAAAATGAACTCATGCCCTCTGAGTTTGAAATGGATATTTTTATTTTTTGGGTACTTTCCATTAAGTCTCTTCATTTACATTTCCTAAAAAAATGACTCCAATGTTTACTTTCTCGCTACTACTACTTCACTAGAGAGGAAGTTATGTAATGCTGCGCGAAAAAATGGCGAATTTTCAGCAGAAGATCTTATTACCGGGCCCTGGCAACGAAAACGTGGATAAATCCACATGCAAAATTTAGAAAAAAACATCCTCTATTACGTGGTGTAGCCACAATCCATGTTTTGTGGGTCCTTGATACCGAAAAATCGATTGACGGCAAAACGTCTGTCCGTTCGTCCGTCATCCGTCCGTCCGTCTGCCTGTCTGTTGGTCTGTGAACAACGCTAGCGGCAAAACCGTTTGGCCGATTTTCGCCTAAATTTGATTGATATTCCCCACACGATCGGTCTGTTGTCACGGCCCCTGGAATTGAAACCGATATTTTAATTCTGGATAGTACTTTGCATGAAGCCCAGGGGACATTTTCAAATTTCAAAAATCGCTTTTGAAGGAATTTTGTTGTTGGAGAGTGTAAAGAACGTTTAATAAAATAGTGTAGTCTCATGTTGGTTGAAAATCCTACTTTATGATTTATTGAAAAAAATCAAAATTTTTAGACGTCTTCCTACAATTACAATTATGAAGATTCAATTTTTAAATTAAAAGCATTCATCAAAAACAGATCTTCAAAAAGGCTATGGTGATTTTTTGAAAATATGAGTGTTTTTGTGTAATTTGGCGACAAACATTAATCACTCGCTTCCAATTTACTGCGCTTCGTAAACGTAAAATGAATGGTGTTGAATGAATGAATGTATAAACTATTACTTTTATATATTTGGAGAATATTAGAATACCATGGTGTTTAATAATTACAATTATATATTTTTCGATCTAATTGCATTTGCTTGACCACGCTATCAGTATGGTTTTATTTATTAACTTTTAAATATTTTACTTTCTCGCAAGCTGCTAACGAAGGATGTTGTAACGTTAAAAAACTTATCCGATACGTTCGCGAATACCCTGCATATCGTATACAATGAATTCAATGTCAGAAATATATTTTCATTTAAAGTTTCAAACAAAAAATCAATTGCTTGAAATTTTTGCACCAAATGTTCTACGATTTCAAATTAATTGTACAAAAAATTATGACTGAGATGTGTTAATTTGGAGAGAAATTGTGGTATAAATAGTATTACATGAACATTAGAAAAGGTGAGAACGTACGTGCTGTTTTAGCACCACAATTTTTTTATTAAACCCTGTCCTCGGATTACGAAAAGGACGCTTAAGAAATTAGTGCAGGTCTCATTCTCGTTGACACCCCTGATATTTCGAAAAAAGCAAAAGTCAATTTTTCGGCGACTTCCTACAACTGCAATTTTGAAGACAGAATTATTTACTGACTTTTTCACTGATCTGATTTTAAAGACAGATCTTGAAATAAGGTCATGTACGATTTTCCGAAAATATGAGTAGTTTTTCACGTAATTTGGCGTGAAATACTAGCAAATTTTATTTTTTTAAACAATTATTTCCTCAAAACGGTTCCAATTTTTTCTTTAAATCTTCTCCTCGTATTTACGTATTAAGAAGGTACGTATAACGAAGGTAAGAAAATTGGAGCTAGTCGCATTTTCGATGCACACGACTATTTTCGAAAATTGCAAAAATTTAACAATTCAAATCTATAAAATTCAAGATAGAGAGTTTTGCATAAAAAAATCTGATGTAAAAAAGTAGTCTTTTGAAAACGACCATTACATTTATTTAAAAGTTAGTTGTTTTCGCGTAATTCCTGCTTGAATTTAATGCAATTTATAAAAAACATTTTATCAAAAAACGCTTCATTTTTTTTCATGGATAGAACAATAAGCTCTTAAAAGAATGGACCAGGCTTCATTTTCATTAAATACGCTGAATTTTCGAAAATTGTACATTTAGAAATAATGCGAGAAAGTATTTGCATTAGTTAGAACTTCCTTTAGTTGGACCCAATTAGTTAGAAATCTCTCTCATTTTAAATGCCAAACATGTTATCTAGGCAATAATGAAAAAATCTCAATCTTCATCGTTTTCATTCAGCTGCAGTTTTGCCAAGCATTGCTTTGCAAAATAAGTAAGGGAATTAAATAAACGTTCATATTAAGCTGTAGGACGCCGATCGCAAGATGTGTTGTATGTATGATGTATCTTTAGTTTTCTCGATTTCAAACGCTGCTGTTCTGTGATTACTTTCATCATTAGTAAAACTGCTCATGTCATGGCTTTTTACCTAAGAATCTTATCTTTACAATGCATTTTTTACGTAAGGAAAGGCATAATTTTACTGTGTGGACTCGCAGTAGCAAATTGCTGATGCCTCCGAGTAGTTTTGAAGGCGCGCGTAGGAGAAGAATTTCACAAGTGAGAATTTATTATTATTATTATTATTATTATTATTATTATTATTATTATTATTATTATTATTATTATTATAAATACTCATGATCCCTCTGACATAAATTCCCATTTGAGAGACCCTCGCATTTATGCTTACATCACAAATTCTGCTAAAATTGCTCTCTAGCGGAGAAACTATTCATTGCATGGATTGTATGTGACCTCTGAACAGTATTTTGGTAACACTGACAGTATCAGCTGTGATCAGCTGGTACGCACGTGTGTTTGTATAGTGGAAAGGAAGTGTCAGTTGTGATAATTATAAAATCCGGCATATGAGTTTTGATGACAATTGCTGAAATTCTTCTGTAATTTGTAAGGCTATCGAGATATTTTGTTTTGCTATTGTTGGATCGAGTAAATTTCATCTAAAACTTTTACGTCATGTTGGTGATAGGTTAATATAGTATTGTCTAAAGTCAAATTTTCATAACTTCGAAATTTTCTACATTGTTTGGTCACCACCTATATTTTCGTCATTCATATATGAGAGATTCGTAAATTTCAGAATGAGACATTTGCTTAAACCTTCCAACGCTCTTAGGTTTCTCTGGAGAAAAATGTCCACTCAAGAAAATTTGGTAGCAGTTTGTCAGATGACTTCAAGAAACAATAAAAGTGAAAATCTAAAAACCTGCAGAAATCTTATTGAAAAGGCATCTCTGAAAGGCGCCAAGGTACAATAAAATTTGCTTCTGTTAATACATTGTATATAACCATTTGTTTTTAATATGTTTAAAAAATTTTTAATGTGAGAATTCAGCCTCTAAGAACAATAGTTATATGGGTAATTTTTCATTTCTGTTCAAATCTCAAGATGGTATTTTTGCCTGAAGCATGTGATTATATTGGTGAGAGCAGAACTGAAACGCTACAATTAGCAGAACCGTTGAATGGGCCATTAGTGAATCAGTATCAAACCCTTGCTAAACAATTCAATGTGTGGATTTCACTCGGTGGAATTCATGAAAGGGTGAGTTAAACTGTAGATTATCATTTTTATTAATATTTACTATTAAGTGTGATTCATGAATTTTAACTAATTACATATTGAGTACCATGCATTTAATAATCATAGAAACTATAGAAACATTCAATTAGGTTAATTTGTGTTGGCACAAGAGAAAAATAATTATCTCCTGGCAAACTCTTAACTTGAGACTTCTGTCTCTTTTTGAGTACAGAGTACTGTTTTATGGTGTTTGGAGCATCAACCTAACCACACTCCAACCTTTTACTTGTGATTCTTTTGTTGAGGAACAGCAATGTGATGAAGATTCAGAGTGCCAGTATCAAATTTCAATGGAAAAGGTGTAACTTCAATATTCCAGTTGTTAAATCAAATTTATTGAGAATAAATGTGAAACGATGATGCCTCTTGAGAATGAAATAATCATTAACTCTGTTTCTAACACCAAAATGTGAAATTTAATGTGATATAATGCTCAGCATTTTTACCAATTCAGTATTTGTTTCTTATAATTTAGCAGAAAATATTTCAAAAGACCAATTATTCAATCAGTACCACACAGAAACAATGTACTACTATTAAGTGTTGTTGGTTCTGCAATTCATAAAAGAGAACTTTTGCTGTCTTCCAGAAATGAGAAATATGAGGAAAAGAGAGCGAACATTGAATGATGTAATTTGTAATACTATTTTCATTTCATTAGGTTTTGTTTACTCTTCAAAATAGTGAAATAATTAGTGAAATTTTTGTTTAACATTTAATTGCATTGTAGGCCTAATTGTTTGTGTTTAATTTTGAAAAGAACAGTAAATATTTCAATATTGTGCTTCCTACATCTGTCATGAACTATATCTGTAATTCGGCTGTTATCAATGGCGGTTACTCTTGGCATGTTCTGCTGCATCTTCCGTGCTGTTTTGCCATTGCTGTTAAAACAATACAGGCACATCAAATTGCTTAGTAGAAATTTGATTTAATGATTTCATTTCTCGCTAGCCAGTAATTTTTAATATGTAAGATCAGAGTTTTCATTTGATGATCCAATCCCTTTTTTTAGTATTCAATGGTCTATCACAACATAATATCTTACATTCCCATATCTGTTATAATTCTTATTCAGAAGCTGCATCACTTCAGCTTTATTTAAACTCTCATATGATACTTATAGAATATGTTAAATCCATAGGTTTTGACTTGCAGGTTAAAATACACTTGTGAATAATTGCTCATGGATTTACAGTAACTTTCAAATTTCACATTTGTTGCAGATTTCTGATGAGAAGGTTAGAAATGCACATGTTATAATAAACAGTGGGGGTGAAATTGTTGCTGTGTATCATAAAACCCACTTATTTGATATAGATATGCCAGATAAATCTGTGAGATTGAGAGAATCAGATTATGTTGAACCAGGGAAGCAAATAGTACCCCCTGTTCTCTCTCCAGTGGGAAATGTTGGATTGTGTGTAGTATCCTTTTGAACATCTCAAGGCCATACTGAAGAAATAATCAATTTTTTGTAGTAATTATCTACATTTAGATTAATTGTAAGGATTTGAATAAGTTGCTGTGTGTATCCTATCCTACTACAAATTTTCCCATTGAATGTTCCACTTTCAAAACTATTCTTGTTGAATTTTTAAGTTTTTGGTAACTACAAGTAGAAATGTAAGAAAAGTTTTGATATTAAAAGCATAAAAAGCATTGTATCAAAAATATTTTTTTTAAATGAATTTCCAACATTCTTAATCTATTCTGGAATATTGAAAATGAATTTTATTATATTCCTGGAAACTAAGGTACTGAATATTTCAATTGGTGGAAATTACTTTAAACAGCAGTCTATGAATTCTCACAATGAAAAAAGTGTCTCAGTGTCCCAGTCTTATGTAAGACTGGTATGATTTAAATCAATATTTATTATTTGTAATATTTGAAAATATATTTTTATTTTAAATATTTGTGAAATAAAAGTTACTTATATAAAAAGACAATTATAAAGTTGATGTTAAGTCTTTTAGATTACATTAGATTTATTAATAATTCTGCAATTAAGTTTGAGAACTTGGTGGCAGAATACATTAACTTAACATTACAGGACTTAACAACTTTACAAAATCTACAAACTTTACAATATATTATATTTCTTATAAACGTTTTCAGATAATTGAACTGCTTTGAGGAAATAAAATATAACATACAATAAAATGACCAAACTTATGAAACAAAGAACAGAAAACAATTTGTGGTTGAGTTATATACAAGCAGACTTAGATGATCGATTAGTTTTTATTCAGCATGTAACTACCTGAAGATGAAAACTAATTAAGCAGCAATACTGTCCCAACACAACAACAAGGTAGTTTTGAGAAAAACATGTTTAAAGCTGAAAGGTGACCACAATTCTAGATTTGTATTAAAATGTTTCCTAAAGTCACTAGTAAATCTTGTAGATAAATAAAAATGGAATTTTGTTAATACTCATTTAAAGAAAAAAATTAATATTGTTAAAACTAATGAAAACTGCCATTAATCTCACTAGGTCTAATAATATTAGCTTTTTTCTTTGTGTGTGTTGATAAAATTCTATTTTAAGTGGGAAGCTTACTTCCCACTGACCGTTAAAAGGTTAATATGAAAGTGCACAAGTAACAACCATTATAACCCCTTTTTTTTATTACAGGACAACTATTCAATAGAATTTAATATTTCAAAAACTGTCTAACATTGTTATGTTTTTCGAAGAATTTAGTTGTTTTCAACAATAAGTGCTTTTTGATTATAACACCAAAAGTAAGAAAAAATTTCGACGAAGAATGCCTTTTTCCTAAATTATGCTAATAGGTGGTGCCACAAGCTTATTTGGTAATGTGGATGCAAGAGAAGTGTTTCAAGAGTACGAAACTATAAGTAAATCAAATTTAAAGATTTTGTTGGTTGGTATTGCACCGGGCCCCTCAAATATGTAGTATCTTTATTTGTTTAAAGTGATTAAGGATAAATATCATGTAATGATTTTTGTTTTAACTAAAAACATCTAATACAATTTTTTTAAATCTTATTTAAATAAAAAAAATCATGATTTTTTCCAGCCCTAGTATTTAGCAATATATTACTATATTGCTAAATACAAGTATCATTAAATATTTAAATTTATAAAATTTTCCTTTGGTCCACTGTTGATGTTCACACATAGCTGTTCTCCAGGTACTAGAATGGCATTGAAACGTGTCAGTTAATTCTCAAGTGGTAACATTTCTTTGGTGATGGTAGTGGTAACAGATTCCTAGTCACCTACATATATACTTTAATTTTATTAACACAAGTTGCATTTAAATACTTTCTAGTTGGTTTTTAATAGTTAGTCCAACGATATAATGAAATAGAATTAACCAGAAACGTTGAAAGTTATACAAATAGAAACAAAATTGTTAACACTTTCTAGAAATATCTTAATTATATATAAGAATATATAAGTATATATAAACATAAATAGCATTAGTGTGAGGTGTAGTGTGATCAGTAAGTGATTAAGACACTTAAATATTTTTCAACATTGACGTATCCAAAAAAACTTGAATGATGCCTAACTCTGGAATCCATGCTTGTACCATGATCAGTACAACCAATATTGCAAATAGGGCACTATGAGTCTAAGAAGCAGATGTTACCATTTAAGGATAAGATGATGTGTGGAAATTCTTGTTCATATTTCTTAACCTCTGAAGTATCTGGTGTAAATAGCAATTTCTTTCTTTCTTTCTTGTTAATGATGTCAAGAAAATAACTGTCTCCTGACTCCAGCATTTGAACTATCATCACCTGTTCTTTCTCCAATAAACTTTCAGATGACCTAAGAACAAAGCAATTGAAATTGTTTATAGATAGAAACAGAAAGAGATTTCCTCAAGATAATACATCTCTGGATCATTTAATACTACTAGATACATTGTGGTATAATATTTGCTTTATTACAAAGATTGAAGTTAAAAACAGTTCTTTCTTCCCTTTCTAAAACATGGTAAGGTAGTAGGCAAGACATTAGGAGATTGTGCTGTAAAATTTACTATTTTATGCTACATTTTTTCAGGAATTCAAAATATACAGTTTTTGATGTGTCGAAACATTACTTTTTGATCATATTCCTTAATATTTGTGCATTGTTATGATATGAGATTTCCAGAGATGGGAATCGCCCTGCGTGGCTCAGGAGCACATATATTAACATATCCATCAGCTTTCACTGCAAGCACTGGAGCAGCTCATTGGGAAGCACTGTTAAAAGCCAGAGCTATTGAAACACAGTGCTATGTGATAGCTGCTGCTCAGACCGGGCAACATAATGCCAAGAGAGCTTCATGGGGCCATGCAATGGTAAAAAATACTCTGTAGTTATAATTTACTCATATAAGTAGTGTGAAAGACTTCTCATATTTATTCCTTTTTTAAAAATAACGTAGATATTCTGAATCCATATTTAAAACTAGTGGGGCTCAACAACACATACTTTCTCATATTATTTGTAATGACTCTTCGATATTATACTACTACATGAACCTGCAAAAGTGTTTTCAACCAGTAAAATTTTTTCCACACTGAGACTCAAACTCAGAATCACGTAGTTTAACTCACCAGGCAGCGTCTGTGACATACCAACTTGGGTAGATGTAAATATCCAATTGCCTCCCCCATTATTTCTAACACACAATTTTCAAAAATTCAGGGAGATCAACAAAAATGAGGCATGCACCATTCTTTTAATGACCTTCCTTAAAGTGCTGACTTTTTTTAGAACAGATTGTGTTTGACAAAAATATTTAGCTTTAATTTTGTAGTTTTGAAATGTTAACTCTTTGCAGTTTTCAAAAATTCGGAGAGTTTTCTAGAAATGAGACTTCCGCCAAATTTTTTATGTCCGTTGATACATAAGAGAAAATTCAATGAAAAAAATTGGAATGGTTTTAGAGATTTTTTTTTGATAAATTGTATATTTCATTTACAAATTGCAAGAAAACTACTCATTTTTTCAAAAAAATTGCCCATTCCCTCTTTTAAAAGAGCTATTTTTTACAATAGTGGCAGATTTTCAACACTAGCTTGAGAGCTAGGTTGAAGTCGGCCAATGTTTGTAGGAGAATTCTAATTGCTGTCTGCTCTGATCAATAGTTTTTGATTGGTTCTCTGATCAGTACCAGGTGAATGTCTTATCTTAACAAGCAGGCCACTGACAGTGGACAATCTTTCTTCCTTCCTCCTCTTCCCCTCCTCTCTCCTTTATACACACACTTACTTACATGCACTATATTATTACACATATTGGGAGATCTGTTGGGATCTTCAACTTTGTTCTGTTTGGGGTGGTGCCCAATTGGCAGAGATACCTAAGCCATGGAAATCTGTGCAAGCTGATGTGTAGGTCAGATCTCACGTTTCAGGGTGGGAAAGAACACCCCCACCTTCTGGGATATAATTTACCCACAATTTACTACAGTAATGGACCTAATGGCCCTAATAGCACTTGACACACCCAGAAACACAAAATTATCATTCAGTCAATTGATCAAATTTACGTGTGTCCTTTCACTTTTTTGCAAATCTTCCGTAATTCATAAAAACCAAAACAAATTGATATATGAGCCTCATTGTATTGTCTTTCCTTTTTTTGTAGTCAATTGAGGTATAGAAAGAAAGACTGAGCTATGCCACAATTTTTTCAAAATTGACGTTTTTAAATGATTGTGTAGTTTGTTTTATTTAATAGTGTTGTTAATGTTAATAAATTCCTCCTCTTCATATATTTTGCAAGAATGATTATTCATAATGAATACTTGGGTTTGTGCTGTGCTTCAGGGAGCTATGGCAAGTATCATTTTCCTCTCTCCAGTACCGTGCCAAGATGTGATCACGTATCATTGATTTAAAATCTGGATGGCACTGAAAGTGATTGTGTTCCAAGTAGCCGTGAGAAATCTAGAAATGAAAGAGAAATGTTGCTGACTAGAAGAAAGTAAAATTCAAATTAAATAGAAACTTAGTATTATTATAAATAAAAAGTACAAGTAAACATATGCCGGCAAAGCAGAAGGGCAGTCTTATTATTCAACAGTTGTTTCATGGGAGGAGTGGAAGTTGATGTAAAAAGTAGAGGAAAGCTACAAAAAGAAAGTCCAAAAAGCAATTAAATATCTTATCAGATATTTTCAAAATCAATTACACGAAGATACTGTATCCAGGTGGAAGGAAGATCACTGCTACAAAACACAAATAGCTTATAAGTATTCTGCCATACATACCAGAATGTTATCACTAAGGCACAGAAGTTAATTCTGTACCAAAAGGAGAAATAAGCATGCCAATATGCTTTAACATTTGTAAAATACGCACCAGAACTAATGAAATATACTCTAACAATTGACAGTTTTATGTATTCATGGACAAATACAAAAGTTTTAATTTTGAATTGTTCTTTTTACTTAGTATTTCACCGATAATTTTTAAAGTTAAATATACCGATTTCATCTGTATCATCGTTGAAGTATGATACCATGTAAAAGAAGTTCAAACAAATACTGTTGCAAAGAACGAAAGACATTCCTATGATTTGTTATGAAGAGCATTCACACTCACATTTGTTAAGTACACTTTCTAGTTTGAAGAGACAAATATGCAAATTTATTGTAATTCCCTGAGAATGATGACACATTTAGAATAAATAAGCTATAAAATATGAATTATAACTTAAATATAATGGAAATATGATGCATTAAATGCATAATGCCCTAAATATGCCCTAATATGCTGTATAAAATCACCGATTTTCTGTTTGTTTGAATGAGTTTTGTAGACATTTTATAATTAGCATATTATAAAACTCATAATTAAAATTTTGATTTTTCATAAAATTCCAAGCCTTAGTCATCACTATATATTCCAAGAACTTCAATTACTGTGTTCAGATGTTGTCATCCAAATGATGAAAATGAAGTTGTGGATGACCAAGATTTTTGATTGTTACGTACAAAATAAAATTTGTCATCTTACACTATTTTTTAAAATACTTTGATATGGAAACAGATGATCATGATTTCCCTTGCCTGTAGGACTTTTGAACTCTTTCACAGTGCTTTAATCATATTTTATTTATTATAAATACATTTTGCATCTGTTTAAATGTGTATTTATGGTGTACATGTGTTACCATAGGAGCAAATAGTTCTGAATTCTCGATGTTTCAGATTCGTGAAAATTACACAACTTTTCCTCAAGTAACTAAGAGCCTAAAGAAGTTACTACAATTTTTATGATTATTTATTATATGCATAATAAATTTAAATGTTTAAAAACATACACTAAAGTGCTCAAATTCTTTTTTGTGATGTGAAATACAAAACTAAATATCTTGGTTAACTGTTCATGTGGCATAGCTTGCTCTTTCTTACTATGCCTCAATTCATAAATTATAATGTGTCCTATAGAGCACTTAAAATGAAAATTATTGAATGTAAAATCAGTCTAAGTAATGAATTGTAATCTTTCATTGTCAACCTTCTAATATAATGGAAGTTGTGTGAGGAAATCACTTTTTCTATGCAATTATGGTCAGATATTTTGAATCATTCTTGCAAATTCATTTGAATGGGGAATACATGGGTAATAATTCCAAAACTTATCACTATATTTATTCCTGCATGTGACAATTTAGTTCTTACTTCTAATTTTAGAATACAATTATGAAAATTTGAGAAATTAAATTAGGGAAAAGTTGCAATTTGATCTTTTAACTACTTATTTTAATTCTTAATTAGGTATAAAAGTTGGTTTCTTCACTAGTATACATTAGCAATACATAGCCAATTTTTTGGACAGTATTCAGAATTAAGAATACTTGTACTAAATTTGGAAATATTATATACTCATTTGTTATTTAGATCTTTCTACAACATGCACATGACGCTAGTTGTGATGACTATATGTGATATAAATCGGTAGTCTGTACAGTGAGACAAATAAATGATTTTCTTTTTGTTTGTAGGCAGAATTTACTTCTACTATTGAAATTTGATTTTTTGTTCCAGGTAGTTGATCCATGGGGGACTGTTATTGCTCAATGTTCTGAAGGTGTAAGTGTTGTAACAGCTGGTATAGATCTTTGTTTTTTAGAGCAAGTGAAGACTAAAATGCCAATTTGGAATCATCGTCGATTTGATCTTTACCGAAAAATTTCACTTGATAAAAATCTGCATGATCAAATGCCTGGAGAGCCATATCAGTTTGGCCAATGTATAATTAAAGATGGTCAGGTGTTTTATCAGACAGAATATACCTTTGCCTTCACTAATAAAAGATGTGTTCTTCCAGGGCGTATCCTTTCTAATACTATTGTCAGTCTTTGCATGTTAATATTCCTGATTTGGGGTTATTAATTTTAAGTGTATTTTGTTCTAATTAATAGTAATTACTAAGAAAGGATTTTGAGGTGCAAATTATGGTTATAAAGGGGGAAAAGAGGTTCTGAAAATTCATACAAAAAAGGTGATGCTGAAAAAATGTATTAAGGTTTAAACCAGTTACATGAAATCTGTTTCTAAAATATAGGTATAATTTTGCACCAATTTTTTCATGTTTATAGAGTTCATAATAGGGGTTTCGTAGTACTTTATCCACCACTGTAGTAAATTGAAAACTGTTAAATAATTGCCAGTACTGACTGAACTTATTTTTCCCACAGATCACCTAGTAGAAAGTACTTCACGGGCACATCAAAATGGGGTCTTGTGGGCATAGTCAACTTCCTCTGACTCCCCTCTCCTTTCTTCTCCAAATTCACAAGCATTGCTAGTGCTCTTTTAGTATTGATGATGTCAAAGGTAAACATTTTCATCAGGTCACAGACAAGTGTATTTCTCCACACCCATTTAAATGTCCTGATTTACCTATCTAAACAGCACTTTCAATCCAGCAGGAAAGGGTTAAAATGTTGCTGCAACACTGTTGAAATTTAAATTTGACTTTACAGATGCAGATTGACCACTGTTGTTGGGATTTTAATTACTGGTTGTTTACATAAAAGATATTTTAATATTTATTTAATGTTGTTGATTTCTGATTAAATGAGAGTTTAAAAAGATTATACGAAGAGAAAAAATACATTTTTCTGGCCAATCTTTAAAAAACGAGTGGAGAAAAAGTGGAGAAAAAGGTGCTGAAGCAGAAAAAAGAGGGAAAAGGTGGGAAAATGTAGTAATCTCACTAAAAGGAGCAGTAAATTGTGTTTTGTTTCACTTCATTTCATCCCCAAAATTCATATATTAAGCCATCTATGCAAAATCAACCATATTTTTGAAAAGGTGCTGCACCTTAAAATCTTTTTCCTAGTAATTGTGCACTCTGTGTTATATGTTGTTACGCAGCTGCTGCAAGTTTTTTCTTGTGTCTCTCATAAATGTACATTTTCATTATAAAACCATTTAGATGGAAATTCCCTTGCATTGTTGTGTCGATTTAGAACTGAACTTTGGATTAACTCTCATAAAAAGGTAAAAGGGATAAACTATTTAGTGTAATTGTGCTGGGATTGGTATCTCCTAGGGAAACAAAATTTAAATTAAGAAGCCCTTTACCTATAGTTTAATGTCATTTGTCATGCACCACACAGGCATCCTTTATGTCCTGACAAATTGGTTATGTTAATCTTGAGAAAGGTAAAATATAGTTCAGAAAATGTTCAATGTGAAAATTTCAATGTCTAGTGCAACATTGTCTCTCAGTTCCAAGAGAATCTTTGAAACATCAAAATTTCTAGAAAAACCCTACCCAATAATTCATATTCAGGTGGTTCAGATTAAATTTTAATTAACTTCAAGGTATAAAATGATCTCTTTTTGTCAATGAACTTGCGGAGAAAAATATCATGAATCGGAGTTTCAAATGTGACGTTTCTGATGGTGGTGGTCTGGATCATGGTGCCCATGATTGATCAACCTGCACTGGTGTTCAGCAGGTACACAAACTCTCGTAGGACAATCTGCCAACTGGCAATGACAATATTGATTTATTTGCCTTTATCATACAGGATTGGCTGTGTCAGAAGTGCACCACTCTTACCACACATGCTTTAATCCTCACTTCAAAAAATTTGAGTAGTCAAGCTGAACAATAAAGACTGTATTGTCATTGCATTGCTTGGGCAGGTTGTCCCTTGAAAGTATCTTGTACCTGCCAAACACCCGGATGAATTTCCCACCAAACAATAGCACCATGTCAGAAACATCACATCCATAACGTCCTTATATGAGATTTCACACATGTTCATTGACAAAAAGTGATACCCTTTGACCTCCTGCATGTTCTAGATGTTTGTAATGTTTATTCTGAACCATTCTGTATATCACGTTGTTGATAAATTGAATGATCAGAAGAAAATTAATTAATACTGTATCATCTTAATCACCCTAGTTCAAATTCAAATGTGTATATTCAGAAACTCGGAGAATGTTTCATGCTATGTATGTATTTGATGCTGCTTAGAACAATTACCATTTCTAAGGAATTGGATATGAAAAACATTTGTCAATAGAATAAGTGATGCACTCAACCAGTGCAATTTTTTCATACTTGCTGTGCATGTCAAGTATTTTCACTACATAGAATATACAGGATGCCAAGTGAGGAAACGACAAAACTTCAAAAATAATCTCTTAAGACAATTTTAAGCATATGTTGTCAAATAAACTCCTTCAGAATATCAAATGTCCGAGCTGCAATAAGCACTCACAAGTTGGTTTAAAAAAATACTTTCTATACGAAAATTTTTATTTCAGAAAAATACAAACACTCCAGAAACGTATAAATTGTATAATATTTACAAAAGAAATTAATATATTTGAACACAAAGATAAATTAAAACAGAAATAAAAACGCAGTTGAACTAAAAGTAGTTGAATGCTTTTTTTATTTCTTTGTTAATTTGTCTTTGTGATCAAATATATTCATTCCTAGCGCAGACCGAAATCGCCGAACCGACAGTTCTCAATCCCGCTTTCGTGCAATATATATATATATATATATATATATTATTATATTATATATATATATAATATTATAATATTATATATATAATAGTATATATATATATTATAATATAATAAACTGCCAACGATGATTGCATGGAAGGATGAGGGAATTGGGTTTGGGGAACCGAGATAGGCGAAGTGTAGTAGTGCTTGTGATTGGTCTCGCAGAAGTCGGCACCGAGAGTGCCGGAACAGCCCGGAGATTAGTGACTGCAGCAATTCTGATCAGGATGTCTCAGGGTTGGAGTCTCGACGGCGGCGGATTTTCGACACTAGCTAGATAGTATTCAGCTGTCTGGAGGAGAATTCTAGCGGCCGGCTGCTCAGATCAGCAGTTTTCCGTGGTTTCTGCCTATCAAGACCAGGCGATTCTCGGAGCACAACCCTGGCAAACGGGCCATGGATATTTCCTTCCGCTTCCTTGTCCTATTATATTCCTCTATGTACACAGACATACTGACAAGCACTACACTACCACACATGTTGGGAGACTAGTGGAGGAGCTTCGTGCATGTCTCAACAGGGAGGTACCTGGAGGAGGAAATCCGACATATAGGTTGGCGCCGGATTTCACCATTCTGTGGGGGGGGAGTAGGAACACCGCTAATGATACCAAGATAAAACGTTCCCTGCACTAACAGGATTAATGACCATGGCAGTTGAAGTGTCCGGTAACGACAATTAATCAAGCTAGCAAGTGTGCAAACGTAGAATTTCTCCCTTCCGCAGTGTGTTGACTTACGCGCTGCTAGGCAGAACTGTAGGCAGGCCACACGTGCGTATCGAGATCAAGGACCTCTTATCGAGGTGGCGCGCCGTCGGTCGACCCGCCCCTTTCCTTCCCGGACCAACTGACACCTTTATGGTCTCCTTCACCGGCTCAGTTATAGAACGATTTTATTAAGAATGGGATAAAGTGACAGTTCGCGAAACACATGAACATCAGGTGTACTTCAGAGAAGTATCTCTCCGCCGCGACAGCTGTTTAGTTACGCCCCTTCGTAGTGTTTGTTCACGGCTCCCTTACGTGCACCGTCACGAGTACGCATCTCACATTCAAGACTCGATATTAAAACAAACATAATACTTATCTCATAAAAAACTAAAATCAATGTATTTTTTATGAAAATAAAGAATTTTTACAGAAGAGCACAAAGCTCTGCACTTCCTAATTTTAATTATTTCTTCGGGCGTGCTATATTTTCGTCGGACGAGGACATCACAGCAGGGAGCGTCGTAACTATTTACAAGTTAGCCAACTGTAAAACAAACGATTGGAGGAAGGAGCGTCTAATAAGTTGAAGGACACAACGACCACAGAGTCGTCAGTTGTGTTGCCAGCACTAGCTGTCAAATCATCCCATTGTAAAGAAAATCGGACAATAGCTAAGGGCAGCACCTGTTCCCGCTTCGGTGCCTCTGGCCGGGAGATCCTAGGTCTCGAGTCCCAATGAGAGGGTATTTTCGACACGAGCTGGATAGCTAGGTGGTGTCACGCAGTGGGTCGGGTCCAGTGAAGTCGGATGGCATAGTTAGGGCGGCAAAATCGAACATTGTTAGAAAAATAAGAGTGCATGTGCTTCTTTGACTTCATATGTGACTTCGTTTTGTTCGTTTTCTCTGGCGTGAGAAAGCAGAGGGCGGTCCAAGTTCGCACTGCTCGCTGCAACTGGCTCAGAGAAGAGAGGTAGCCAAACACCAACTCACGTTGACAGTCTTTTATTCCAAAATTGTGTTATAGATAGATCTGATCAGTTATAACGTACAGCTAAAAGTGCCCGCCACGTCGTCGGGCTTAAATGCCTGGCATGCTGGGTGGCTAATAGACCCTTGTTGCCGGCAGACGCATGGCGGATGATCCGCTCTTGTGCAGTTGTTCTCACATTTAAGAGAACTTCTTGCGTTTCTACTCGTGAGCACTTCCGCTCATGTCCCCAGTTTGAATGGATTTGCAGGATGCACCTCAGCTGCTGTTTCCTAATACAAAACACTATTTATTACAGTTTAGAATTTGAGAGACTTGTCTGGTTGCTCCGTATGCGGTGGCTTGGCTGAAGGAATCACACAACTGTGGTACACCGTAGTGGAATATTAATATCTATTACAATTTAGAATTTATAGGTTTTATCTGGTTGTTCGTGATGCGGCTTCGGGCTGAAGGGGTCGTAGAGCCGTAGGATGTAACTTGAGCGTGTGTACAAATTTTGTGCTCATCATATAGATTTGTAGTGTTCTTCGCACGCGCCCAATGTTCAACCGTAATTTGTCTCGCCGGAAGTGACGTCACACCGCATCCCGTAATTAGGCGCTATGCAAAATCCGGAGCCCATGCAAGAGCAGGATGTGACCATGGAGGAGTAAGGACCGGGCACTCGATCTGAGGTGCGTAGCGAGCAGTGTGAGAGGTGGTGACCGTTCTGTCGCCGATCTGTCACCGGATCGCTGCACTCGCATTGAACAAATGTCTTAAATTTGTTGAGGTAAAACTAGGTTCAGCGGATGTTCGAGAATAATTCATACGTTACATACCTCCAGAAGTGAAAACTGCCGAGAGAATTACAGAAGTAATCACTCACAGAATTTTTTTAAAAAAATAGTATATAAAAAACACCCTACCAGTTATACACAACTATTAGTTATTTGTATACCAAATGATCAACAAATACTAGTGTTCAATCAGGAGTTTAACAGAATATTTTGCTTGAATTCATTAGTTTTGTTTGAACCTTGTGCCAACCATTCAAATTAATGTCATTGAAGTTCATTCAGGTCATGTGAATGTTTAACGGTAACGTGTTTGGAACACCAACAGGTGTAGACCCTTTTATTTAATTTTCTTCTTCTAGATATAGATGGAGCGTACTAGAAGAGTTTGTAAATTTAGTAGTAAAATGTAATTCGGCTAGTAGATGGAGTTCAAAATGAGAAGCTGTAGGTAAAAGAAATTTCTACCCGATTTTGATTACTGTTGCATTTTGACAATCGTTGAGATACGTCTAAGCCACAAGCACACCAGAGATGAACAGACACACACACTCACATTAAGAAACTTTGAAACTTAATTCTGGAATTGTCAGAAAAGTTTAAACTGATGATGCTTTAATTTGCAAAATCAATTCATCTGGTGCAGTTTCCATGACAGAAGCTCTGTATGTGTTCACAACCTCAAACGTAGTGCAAATTACATCAAACTTACTTACTTTTCGCATACTGAAAGTCTCGAAATATAGCGCACTAGTTTATGTGGCCCTTGCATTAATTGATGTGCCCCTGCGGGTGGTCCTAGGATGGAAGACCCGACGGTGTCAGGATTTTCGCCTCTAGCTGGATAGCACCACTAGATAGTCAGCCGCCACTGATTGCAGGAGAATTCTAGAGATCGACCGCTCTGAACGGTAATTTTCCGTGATTTCTTCGATCAACAGCAGGCGAATGGCCGAGCCGTACCATAACAAACGGGACATGGACCGCGCGCGATCTTTTTTTCCTCTCCCTTGTCCCATCCTCATCCTTTTCTTACACACACTTACACTTACATGCACTACACCACCACACGTCAGAAGCTTAAGAGTTTGCCCTGGCTGAGGCGGCCCCCTGCTGGTGGGAGATACCTGTGTTAACTTATTAGGGGGGGGGGGAGGCTAGTTAACGTGAAGGTCGACGTCATATCTCGCCATCTACTAGGAATATCATCACCACCTCCCACCCTAATGCATGCACCATACTTAATGAAATAATTACCATAGTAGTTTACGTGCCGAGAAACACTTAGTCAATCAATAAAAATGTACCGCCAGATATCATTCCAATTGCACTAAATGACCGAAGATTTCAGAACGACCCATTACCTCTTTATTTTAATTGCTGATGGAGAAACCCTAAATAAAAATTATTTTTGGTAACTTATTGCAACCATAAGTACAGTAAAACTTGCTCAGTGCGGAACGTGTATAATGCGGAAATCTTTCGAATGTGAACACATATCGCGGTCGCGGCATACGTAAAGGCCACAGTATTACAATGCATAATGCGGAATCTTGTCTAATATGGAAAAAATATGGGTCCCTTGAGATTCCGCATTGAGCAAGTTTTACTGTAATAATTTGCGCGCGCACACTCACGCACACACACGCACACATTCGTTCTCGAGTTGCTCAAACTTAACAATACACAGGGGAACACAGGAAATTAGATTATAGATGACTGAATTGGATTTTCAAAGGTTTACCCTTCCCGCCCTCAGGGTTGTTTATAGCGTAGGCGAATGACCTCAGAATTTTCAACTTCTTATTTTGAATATATTTTGTACAACTTGAAGTTTTCAAGATATTGTGATTTCTGAAGATATGTTTTCCATCTGTTTAATTCATTCCTGATAATATGAGGAAATGTAAATTTTAAAATAAATGGCTCATGATATTTTGGTAACTAGAACAGAAAGAACATTTTTTTACTTGTATATTTCATAACTTTTTGTCTACTTTAAATTATTTGCATATCGATCTTTTGAGATGTATTGCTATCTTTTGCCATGCCCATAGCAAGCCTTGTTATCTTCATCTTTCCCCCAATACTCAATACTATGACTTGTTATTTACTTTGGAAAATGTTATTGTGTAATATAAATGTGTAACATTCAATTAATTTTTCAACAGTTTCCCTTAAATATTGTAGATGTCCTTGTTGCTCCAAAACGTTGCGCTAAACGTTTAGTTGACCTAAGCGAAGAAGAAATCAGAGACTTATTTGTAACTGCTACATCAGTGCAAAAAGTTGTTGAACGTTGTTATTTAGCAACTTCATCTACTATTTGTGTTCAAGATGGGAAAGATGCTGGACAAACAGTAGAGGTTAGTAACATTTTCTGATTGGATTGTTTTAATGACATTTTTTGAACCCCAACAAAAGATTTTGGATGTAATAAAGTATGAGAAACAAATACAGTGTATTGTTCACAGTCTGTATCCATATGCTTGCTTGGTAGATTATGGATGGCTAGGTAGATATAAGGATAGATAGATATCTGTCAATTAGAAGAAGATTTAGTCTTTTATTGAAACTTGTCATTTTACATTTGGCTGTGTTCAATGTCCTGATTGTTACATACTTAACCTGACACTTCAGGAAAAGATTGTTTACAACTTTTAGCTGTCTTTTTTGATGGTCACACCAAAATAGAAGTAAACACAATCCTCAAATAAATGGATATTTGTATAGTTGAATATTGTTGGTAAATCATTTATAGAATGTTAGTAACTATATTGGACCCAGGAGGGAATCTGTAAGCATTAGTAGTGAAGTTGAATCATATGCCAAATTTGTTTGCTTGATTTAGAAAGTTTGAGTGTGGTAACGAATATAACTTTTGACCCAATTTAAAAAGAGCCACTTTCACCGAGGTAATAAAAATTGGCCTTTGTAAAGGTAGTTGAAATGATGTCTGCATGTTTACCTAGTTCCAGCTTTTCAAAAGTATTGTTTTTAAAGATTAGTGATTGCTTATTTATAAAACTATTCTGTTTCTCAGATATTAAATACAGAAGAAAATTTTCCTGTGAATTTTGAATTAATATCTTAAACAACTCAGGAAAGGCGCTCAAGATAGTGCAATTAGTCAGGGCTTTGAAAGCACAATTACGTTTGCAATAAAGAGGAAACAGACAGGAATAAGGTATATGGGTGCATTATAGGATATTTACACGTCTATGGCAGTTGAAGTTTTGAAATATCATTAAGAAACCGTTTGCATAGTAATAATAAGAGAGCCGATGATGGGTATGAGTGCGAAGGTTTCAATATCAAAATCAGAGATATATTTCTTTTGTATGATTTTTAAAATCATTTGCAAGTTTATAAATGTTACTTGTCCTCAGAACCATGCTCTACCTGAGCTTCATAACCGAGTATTAATTAGTGGTGCTACAGAAGGGCCAGACTTTCCCGTTTTAGTTTTATTTTTCCTTTCATCTCAGTTAGCTATTAGAACTTGCTACATATTCTTCCTTGCTGCCATTTATTGACATTACAGATTATTATTGAAAGTACATTTTTTTGACATTTTCTTAATTTTTCAGTTTCCTAATTGTTGTGCGGAAATATTATTTTAAGATTATTATAAAACAGTAAAACCTCGTCCTAAACGGCAATTTTCTTTGAAAAGATTGGAGCCATTTTTAAGAAATTGGTGCATAAGTGCTGCTGTAAATTAGAAAGTGACAGTGACCCTTTTTCACAGAAAATGTTTGTTATTGAAAAACTTCAATTTCAGTCATTTTAAGTACTTTAATTCACAAATACAAAAAAATAGACCGAATTTAATTTTACATCGTATTAAAGCGTGCAATTAACCGTTATCCGTTTGAATGTTTGAAGAAAAAATTTGGAGCCGTTTTTGAGAAAATGGCGTTTGAACGTTTCAGAAAATGCAGTGTTTTGAGCTACTTTTCACAGAAAATGGTAGTTTTCTAGAAACTTCGTATAATACTATCTAAAGCAAATTTACTCATAAATACAATAATGTTAATAAATTGACGCTACTATAAATATTAACGACATGAGAGGCAAGTCAAAAAAATTTCATTTTTATGATTTTTGAAAAAAGAATAGAGCAATATGGCGTTTATGACATCTTAAAGAGTACATTTAGCATTATCCCTACCAAAAGTATAAAGAAAAAATTTTGAGCTCTTCTTGAGAAAATCTTGTACAGGATCTTAATGAAAGAACTTTCTATGGAGAACAAATTTTATTTGAAGGAAAAATCTCTACCTTCAATTTTGTAGCTGTAGGAAAACACCCAAACAATTCATTCTTTTGAAATTTTCGAAAATTCAGAGTAAATCGTAAAAAATCGGACCTATGCCTCCTTTATAAGTCTATCCTTCTCTATTCTTACAAGAAATTTAAAGAAAAAATTTGGAGCTGTTTTTCAGAACATTTTAAAAATGTCAGGGGGGCTTTATGTAAAATGCCTCCGAATTTTAAAGAATATTTTTCGAAACCTCAAAGATTCGCCTCGAGCCAGATCGACACGGGTTTCTCCAATTTGGAAAAAAATCCTACACATGGTTTAGGCGCTAGCAGCGATCACAGACATCAGACTGACGTTTTGCAAAAACAATTTTTTCGTAATCAGGGGAATACAGAACGTGTATTTCCTCCGAAATCTGGAAATCGTTTTTCCGCAGCCTTGCATAACTTCCATATACTACGT